AAAAACATTTAATCCATTAATTCATTTATTATTAATTATAGTAGTCCTAAAGAGTGAACAAAATATATATTCGACATTTAATCTAATATTATATTGAACTGGAATAAAAATAAAGACTGTTTGATCATGACGACACAAAACAAGCAATCAGATAAGATTATTAATTGACCACACCGCAATGGTGGTAGAATTGCTAAGGGCGGAGAGGGTACAGTACCACAGACGGGTAAAGGCAAAGGCTAACAAGGGGTTAACCGTTACTTGTCGATAATACCACTGTCCCAGATTAATTGTTGTCTTTCTGTTAATAACTCAAAACACACCTAATATTTGTTTTTTTTATAAACCTAAACAAAACACTGTTGTATTCTTCATGAAGTTCCCAAAAACACTTTAAATACAGCTTTAAGATAAATAAATAAATAATTTATTTATGAATGGATTGCAACATTAAAGCTGTTGTCATATAATAAATTATTATAGAAATAAAGTCATGGATGAGTAAAATTGAATACATTACATCATAAATCATAAATTGTACAGAATTTTTTTGATAATTTGAATTTGTAAATTTTAAATTTCTTGAAAAAACTACCTCCGTTTGAAGAACTGCTTCTTACCTTCGAAGAGCTCACCTCTAACATATGTCTTATCCAGCAAAAACACTTTATCAGTTTATTATGCACTGCCTAATCTAAATAATAGTTGTATAGTCCAAGGATATCTGCAAACTGTTGAAAACGTAGTTAAACATAAGAAGAAAATCATAAACGTATGCATAGGTCGGTATGCACATCAAATTAAAGGTCTGTATTAGTAGAATACAATACCACAAATTTGAGCTCAAAATAACAAGTAAGTAAAAAGTGCAGCCAATCAAAGATTAAAAATGGCATATTTAAGATATCTTTGAACACCTGCAATCTTTGACTCGGTTGTCCGTTTGAGTTTAAATGCTTACATTTAAGACTATTTCTGATTCCTAGCGGGCTTTCCCCTGAGAAAGTACCGGATCACTGAATATGTCATAAAATAGATTTTTAGTCCAGTAACTTTGTGCAAAGTTTTGTCACTCTGTTTGAAATATTTCGAAAAATATGTAACTGACCCGGGACTTTTTGGACACTGCACATGAACTTGCTTTAAAATTAACTACGTGTGATTTTAAATTAAATCGATTAGCACTGCCAGACTTGTTTTATGAGACACTTTAAAATTAAGTTATCTGAGTGGCATATTGCCAATCCATATTATACATTTTACAGATTTGTATTATGTCCTTTGATAATTAAATTTAAGATTTAACTTCATGTTATTGCATTGTTCTCCTCTATATCATAACTGTTAAATTTGAAGTATTTGTAACTGTTATAGTCTTATTTTATTGACCTAGGCTATGCCTGTGTTACATGGATCAACGGCAATGAAGATAATTGATTCTTGAAATATTAGTTGAGGAGATAGTATTTGGTTGCATTAATACTAATGAGATGTATTAAGTACTGTATACAGTTTAGTCAAGAGACTAAACTATAGCTTGCATTATAATTTTCTTCCTATTTTTCCCACCCTTTAGTAAACTCAAAAACCTAACCAATTTTGTTTGGCCTTCGTAATCATTCGAAAATAGTTTGTATTGTATAACCAAAGAGACCAATCATCAATTGTCAATAATCAATTGTACGAGGACTAATATAGTATATACGTATCCTACATAACTATCCATAATTTCATAATTCTAAATGGTTATAATTAAATCAAATCCAATTTACAAATAATCTTTAAGAAGAAATAGTTAGGATCACCTATTTTCAGCTGCTAGAAATATAATTGAATGAGATATTGGAAAACTATTTGAAGCAGACTTCACAAGCTATAAAATGAAAACATTTTGTCAGTTTTGTTGGTGATAAAATCTACCATTTAGCCTTCCTTAATGTGATCCAAGGTCATTCGACCGTAACTTCTCCAGGATAGAACTTTATTTATTACTTAAAACGTTGTCCAAGCACGATCATATAATTCACTCTGATACAAGTGGAACATTGGTAAGATTTATGGCACCTAGTTGTACTAGATCATGTTTTATGCTTAACTGAGACATAACACTTAGTAACATTGTTTTGATTTATGAACCATAGGAATACATCAACTTAGAAATATTAATCAACTTTAGTAATAGAATGTTAAACACAACGTTCTTTCTAGTGTTAAGCTAATTTATCACCATTTGCTTTGATACACTATTATATGGTATCCAAACTTATTCCATTACGTAAAAAGGGCTCACCAAAATAAACATTTATGGAATCTCACAATGCTCCATTACTTCAATGAAGCCAGATTTGATACAGCTTGTTTAATGAACTACGAGTGTTTCTACATTCTGTGTAACATTCGCTTCAACGTATCCCTTTAATACAGCTTGTGATATTATTATTGTGTACATTAGGGGACTAAACTAAATTCTATTGAGTAGATTTTAAAATTTTTTGTTTACTGTAGATGTTATAATTAATTTAATTCTCTGTGTATTGCTAAAATTAAGTTCATTATGTATTTATGTAAATTTTGTTTCCAGTTGTACTTATAATAATATACTGGCCGGTGTTACCGGTAGCCAATAGGGTATAAGTAGGGACGCCATTCAAGATTCTTGTAATTCGCCTATTGGGTCTGATGATGATTGGAGTGTCCAATCGAAATCGATCACCACTTACCATCTTTTGTATATTTACCGTCTTGTGGGTAACAGTATTGGGGCGTAAAGAGGGTAATATATGACTCACCAACAATCCAAGGGTGAAGAGTAACAAGAAACACTAGAGAGTAGAGGTGGCACATGTGCGGAAGCCGTGAGTGGATGGCGGAAGACGACGTCTTGGGAAGAGGGTAGCCAACTTGTAGGTTGAGTAGAGATGAGGGAAGTGTGCACACTTTTGGGGAACACTTGTGGGGAATCCAGTAATACTAATCCACTAAATTTGGCACTTGACACAGGCACTCGCGACGAAGACGCGGCGGACGTAACTGCTTAGCGGCGGCAGCGATAACGTACTAAATAACTTATTTAAGAAAAACACCTTTTACAGAGTTTGACGTCGAGAAAGTTTTATTAATTGTTCGTGACAAACGATAGAAGAGCGTTAGAGAGTCCGAGAAGCGGTTTTAGAGGTAAAAGTTTATAAACAGAGAACGACTAACGAAATACGGCGCAATGCACGTATTCAGCCGAGGAGAGTTACATTTCAACTGAACATTATTTTTGGAGGGGGAAGGGACGCTACCTCAATGTTTCTTAGAGGGGTACCGCAAATTTATCCATGTCCATATCACGCCACATTTTTTAACCAATAGGATTCGTCCTGCATCGGGCAACACAGCCGAGATAGTGTGTGTGTTTTATGTAGGCTTGTGTGAGTGAGACTCTAACATTTAATACAACAATACTTAATGAAATTGAAATGAGATTTAAAAATACAGATTTGGTTTGGAAATAAGCTATCACTAATTGAACAATAATTATGATGATAAATATAGTAATAATTAATTAAATACAGAACATCCGGGCCCCCTTGAATCTACTTGGAGATTCAAAACAAAATACAGAGGAACACATTTCAGACACCTAAGACATATAATTATAACTAAAGCTATATACATGAAGTGCTATCAATTGATAGTCTATTCACAACCAAGAGGTAGTGGAAACACTTTTACAGCGGGTCGAGTGAGGATGCCGGTTGCTGTCTTCAAGTGTACCACTCGTACCACATTGTCTTTGCCAGGAGACACATCAATAATGCGGGCCAAAGGCCAGGTCAGAGGAGGGGTGGATTGTTGTTCCACTAACACAAGATCACCGACTTTGAGGTTATCTTGGTGCGAGGCCCACTTCATCCTTTGTTGCAAGGTGTGCAGGTACTCTTGCTGCCATCGCTTCCATATTCGCTGATGGAGTGCCTTGACGAGATGCCAGTGTTTCAGCCTGTTGGCGGAGACGTCTTGGACATCTTCTTCAGGAACCGCAGTTAGAGGGGCGCCGATCAAAAAATGTCCTGGAGTGAGAGGTGTCAGGTCCGAAGGGTCGGATGAAAGCGGCGTAAGAGGGCGTGAGTTCAGAACGGCCTCTACCTGTGTTGACAGAGTAGAAAATTCTGCCAAAGTCAGGATGTTCGTTCCGATGACTCGTTTGAGGTGGTGTTTAGCGCTTTTAATGGCACTTTCCCATAACCCACCCTGATGAGGGGCTGAAGGGGGGTTGAAGTGGAAAATAATCCCTTTGGTAGAGACAAAGTCCTTAAATTGGTTTGAAGATTGAGCGGACTTAATAATCTTCTTAAGGGCGTTATCCGCACCTACAAAATTCGTACCGCAGTCGCTGTACAAGTTGGTACTTAACCCTCTTCTTGAGACAAAACGAGTTAAAGCCGCTAGGAAGGCATCTGTAGTCATATCTGTCACTACTTCGATGTGCACGGCCTTAGTAGCCATACAAACGAATATGCACAAGTAGACCTTAACGTGTCTGATTGAGCGTAAGTTGTGGACTTTAACAATAAAAGGGCCACCATAATCCATTCCAGTTGAGATGAATGGTCTGGCAGGAGTGACACGAACTTTGGGTAAATTACCCATTTGAGGCGCCTTGTTTCGGGGTCTATTTTTAAAACAAGGGATACATTTGAATATGCGTGAGCGGATAACACTACACTTGAGTGAGTTGAGGTCCGGCATGAAGATGTGTTTTGTGACAGTCATCTATGATAATATCTACAACATGGTGCCTTTTGGGGAGCAATACGGGATGAACGCTGTCATAGGGGAGCGAAGAATTCTTAATGCGGTCGCCTACACGAACTATTCCGTGCTCATCGAGAAAGGGTGACAAGCGTTTATACTTAGAATTGCAGTTTTCTGATTTCTGGAGATTGGCGATTTCTTCAGAAAAACATGATTTTTGAACAAGTTGGATAATTTTTGTGGTTGATGACTTGAGTTCATTTGTAGTGAGAGAACTTCGCAGCTTGTTCGATCTTCTCGCGTTGTAAATGAAGAGAAAGGTTGTAAGCTGTAATGCGTACGAGTTTAGTCCACGAGGAAAATCTTGTCAAAAGTTCCCATTCAGGGTTGGAGTTCGAAGTGAAGACAAAAAGTTCAGCCACTTTTGTTTCTTCTGAGCTATCTAAATTTACAGGTGTAAATTGTCTATTAGGCCAGTCTTCGCAAGGTTGAGAGAGCCAAGATGGCCCGGTCCACCACAAGGGGTGATTTTGGAGATGAGTGGCAGTTATTCCCCGAGAGGCGCAATCTGCGGGGTTATCCTGACTGGGTATGTAACGCCAACAATGTGAGGGGAAAAGTTCTTGAGTCTGAGCTACTCTGTTCGCCACATAAGTTTTCAGTCTGTATGGTGGTGTTTGAAGCCATGTTAGAGTGATGGAAGAGTCACACCATAGAACAGTACGAGAGAATGTTACTTTATTCGTAAACATAGAGAGGCAGTATGATGCTAGTTGAGCAAGGAGATGAGCAGCACATAGCTCGAGACGAGGTAGAGTGACTCGTTTTAGAGGAGATACACGAGTTTTCGCCAATATTTGACGTACAGTGACATCACCGGATGAGAGTTTGCATCTGAAATAGAGAACTGCGGCATAACCGCTTTCTGAGGCATCTGAGAAGCCGTGAAGTTCAATAGCGCTTGAAACTGAAAACTGGAATGCTCTGGGGATCTGAATATTGGAGAGAGATTGAGTATTAGTTACAAAGTTTTGCCATATTGAAGTTAAGTCACTTGAGAGCTCTTCGTCCCAGCCTAATCCTGTGGTCCAGAGCAGCTGTATAAAGCATTTTGCTTGCATTGTACACGGAGCTAGAAAGCCACACGGGTCGTAGATTTTAGCAACCAAGCTGAGCACACGACGTTTGGTGGGTGTCTCATTAGCTGCATCAGATAAATTTATATTGAAGGTGAAACAATCAGAAACTGGTGACCAATGCAGTCCTAATATTGAAAATAGAGGTTCTTTAGCATGTTCCAGAAATACAGGTAATTCAAGATGTTCTTGGGGCAGAGCTTGAAGGAGTTCCTTGGCGTTGGATGACCACTTCCGGAGTTCAAATCCACCACGGGACAGAAGGCTAATTATCTGGCTTTGAAGTTCTAGAGCATCTTCGACCGTGTCAGCACCTGCGATTATATCATCAACATACGTATGGGAAGTTAAAACTTGAGCAGCAGCAGGAAACGCCTCACCCTCGTCTTTAGCTAGCTGATGAAGCGTTCTAATAGCGAGATAGGGGCTGCTGTTGACCCCATATGTGACTGTAGCCAGCTGGTAGGTGGAGAGGTCCTGGGAAGAGTTATTACGCCATAAGATAAGCTGGTATTTCTGATCGTCTGGATGTACTAATATTTGACGATACATTTGACGAATGTCACAAGAGAAAACAATGTTATAGGACCTGAAATGGAGCACAATGTCACAAATGTTCGTCTGGAGCTTAGGACCTGTGAGTAAGATGTCATTTAGCGACAGTCCAGAACTGGTCTTGCTACTAGCATCGAACACAGTACGAAGTTTCGTAGAGCTACTATTTTCTTTCAAAACTCCGTGGTGGGGAAGATAATAGTGAGGGGAGGTTAAATCGACAGTCTCAATATTGGTCATGTGACCGAGAGAGAGATATTCATCCATAAACGCAACGTACATGTCACGGAATGAGCTTTGAGCGGCAAACTTACGCTCTAAAGAATACAAGCGTCGTTGCGCAGGGAGGTAAGAGGTTCCCAAGGGAGGATGATTAACCTTGAATGGCAATCTAACCACATACTGGCCGTTTTGGTTGCGTGTGTGGGTTTCAGAGAAATGTTTGTCACACTGTTGCTCCTCTAAAGTTTTACTACTGCACTGTGGGATCTCTTCTTGGGTCCAAAATTTTTGGATAGAGGAATGGAGATCATTATCACTGGTAGAGAGAAAAGAAGAATATGTGCACGGAGCGGAGGAACTTACATCTGCAACAGGGGCGGATCCCATCACAACGAATCCAAACTTTGTGCCAATAAGGTATGGCATGTTTGCACCAATTGAATGTGTTTGGTGAGTAAGAATGAGAGGAAACAGAGAGACGCCTAAAAGAACGTCAATACCACTTGGTAAATGAAAAGTGGGATCAGCTAGCACGTACGGTTTTACCATTTTAAACACTTCCGGTGCAAGGCGAGAGCGGGGAATATCAATAGCGATCTTGTCCAAAATATGGAATGGGTGCTGAGATGCAACATTGTTGTCACTTAGAGTAGCTAAATTTAGCCGAGTAATCCCTTTAGTTTGGGAGGTTGTGGCAGAGATGCCGACAATTGTGTGGGTCTACTTATGTCTTGGGGTTTCCAGGAGCTGAGCGGCACGCTCACTGATGAAATCACACATACTACCTGAATCGAGTAGGGCACGAAACACATGAGTATGTCCGGTAGAGGATGTCAACTTGACAAGAGTTGTACCAAGGAGGACTGTAGATTGTGATGAAGTCTTATGATTAAACGTGTTTTGAGCGGATGCCATGACTGAGCTGGGTCCCTGAGGCGGAGGGGTTGTAGTATTATTTTCTCTATGCCATCTAGAATCTGATTGGGACGGAGTCTGGAAGTGCAATAGACTGTGGTGGCGTCTTTGGCAGGTCGTACAAGTGTTTCTGGATTTACATTGTTTACTATCATGGTAACCAAGACACGATATACATCTATTACTGTTTTTTACAAGCTGATAACGCTCTTGAGGGGTTTTAGCTCCAAAAGAAGGACACACATATATTTTATGGTCATTTTTACCGCAAGCAAAACATTGAGGGAGGAGAGAGAAGTTAGTGGTACTCTTTCCAGCTGAAAGAAGTGCTACGTGTTTACTAGTTTTATCAGAAGCGAAACTAACAGATTTCTTGCCTTTATGTTGCGGTGAATGGCTAAAATTAGCCTTGCGAGGGGTTTGTGGCAAGTGCAGCCCTGCATCCTCTGCTTGGTTACATTCAACGTTTAGAAACTTGATTATATCAGAAACTTCCGGTAGTGAGTGTGCTTCGCAATCTTGGCTCGATCGATAAGCTTCTAGCTTTTTGTGTAGATCGGTATCCATTTTCCGCAAAATGAGGGCTGAGAGGAGGGGATTTGATGTTGATGAAACGTCGCAATCAAGAGCTTTTAGCGCTTCAGAATGTTCATAATAAAGATTTATGAAATTTCTAAGGTTGCGGATGGACCTTGAGGAAATGTCAGGTAAGTCCATTATTTGATTTAAGTGCAAGGTTATGAGTCGCCTCGTATTATGATAGCGTTCTCGGAGGAGCTGATAAGCTACTAAGTAATTAGCAGTAGTGATGTTAAGAGACTTGATCAGACTTGAGGGCTCGCCAGACACGACACTTAGTAGGTACTGGAACTTAGCCACATTTGAGATACTAGCATTTCTGTGGACACTTGAGTCAAATAAATTTATAAAGCTAACCCATTGAAAAGGATTGCCGTCAAACTGTTTTAATTCTAATTTCGGTAGCCTAATATTGGCTTGAGCAAGAGTGGGTGCAGTTGAACCTGCCTCGCTATGAGCCGAGGGAGTCTTTGGTTCATCTACTGGGTCAAGAGATTCAATAATACTTTGTATCTTAACATGAGTATCGTTAATTGTGTCTTGATCATCAGACAACTGAGTAGTGGGAGCTTCCTCAGGATCTATATTTTCCAAAACACGGTAAAGATTACCTTCAAAGTCGGCACGCTTTTTGTTAGATTCTTTAGCATAAGCCGCCAACGATCTATAATGTACTGTAGTGGTTGTTGGGCAGCAATAGCCTGGACAGCAGTGAGGATTTTATCAAGTCTTGCCTTAATTAAAGCGGTTGAACGCTCATAAGTACTAAACTTGATGACAGCTGGGGTAGGCATTGTGATAGCCTATTTTAAATACAATTGAAAATAAAATACAAATAATAAAATAATAAGAATTATTGGCCTACTTATTATTTTTAAAGAGCAGTGAGCTTAATCATTAAGTTTTATGAGAGAATAATTAATTAATAACGAACACGTCAAAAACATAAATGCATTTTTTCACCAATAAAGTAAAATATAACCAAATACATTACAATGACAAAGAGACAGTTAATAGCTATTTAACTGCAAATGTGAGCCTATAATAGCTGGCAAGATATCAAAAATTAAAATTAAAATACATAATTAAAATACTCCAATTAAAATATAACCTAACTCAGAAAATAATCAGATTGTCCAAATAACTTAAGTTGTTTACAAGCGAGTTGAATGAGAGGAAATAATTATTTACTAAAATAAATATATCCAGGAATATTCTCAATGAATTATTATTAACATTACAGCAAAATAGCAATAGACGTAACAATATCTAAGAACAATGACAATGTGAGAATGAGAGAGTGTATTGTGGTTTGTTTATTTTGGTGTATCGATCACAGGACAGGCGATGACAGGAGTGAGTGAAGTATCAGTCTGCACCGCGCCGATCAGCTGTGCTTGAGGGGGGAGGGAGCGCAACGTCTGCGAAAAGGCAACGTTCGGTGCGTGAGGGGGGACTGACCACGTGATCTGCAAACATAGGTCGCGTCGGCGCATCAAAGTTGAATGCAACACGCTGAATGTGGAGGCGGGAACGAAGTTGGGCGGGAACGAAGTAAACTATATCGGTGGCGTGATCAAATCAAAAATGGCTGATCGAGCGCCAAATCATTTGAGCGAAATTGCAGTAAATTATATTGCAACTATAAGTAAGATTTTCGGTCAACGAATCCGTTTACTCGAGTGAATAATTATTACATAGTTTTTAAGGGAGACGCAAACGCACTTTTCACAGTTTTTTTTTTAGCACATGGTGAATAAGTTCATTGATAGTTAAATACTGTTGTATCATATGGTTGTTAAAGTCCATAGCGTTGTCCATTAACATCCGGCTCGAAGGACCATTAAATGGGGCGTAAAGAGGGTAATATATGACTCACCAACAATCCAAGGGTGAAGAGTAACAAGAAACACTAGAGAGTAGAGGTGGCACATGTGCGGAAGCCGTGAGTGGATGGCGGAAGACGACGTCTTGGGAAGAGGGTAGCCAACTTGTAGGTTGAGTAGAGATGAGGGAAGTGTGCACACTTTTGGGGAACACTTGTGGGGAATCCAGTAATACTAATCCACTAAATTTGGCACTTGACACAGGCACTCGCGACGAAGACGCGGCGGACGTAACTGCTTAGCGGCGGCAGCGATAACGTACTAAATAACTTATTTAAGAAAAACACCTTTTACAGAGTTTGACGTCGAGAAAGTTTTATTAATTGTTCGTGACAAACGATAGAAGAGCGTTAGAGAGTCCGAGAAGCGGTTTTAGAGGTAAAAGTTTATAAACAGAGAACGACTAACGAAATACGGCGCAATGCACGTATTCAGCCGAGGAGAGTTACATTTCAACTGAACATTATTTTTGGAGGGGGAAGGGACGCTACCTCAATGTTTCTTAGAGGGGTACCGCAAATTTATCCATGTCCATATCACGCCACATTTTTTAACCAATAGGATTCGTCCTGCATCGGGCAACACAGCCGAGATAGTGTGTGTGTTTTATGTAGGCTTGTGTGAGTGAGACTCTAACATTTAATACAACAATACTTAATGAAATTGAAATGAGATTTAAAAATACAGATTTGGTTTGGAAATAAGCTATCACTAATTGAACAATAATTATGATGATAAATATAGTAATAATTAATTAAATACAGAACAAGTATAAGAGTAAATACAGGGTGGTAAAAAAGTCCCTGGACAGTTGAATATTTTAAAAAATAATGCAGATAGAGCTATAATACTTGGTACAAAGTTACAGGGCATAAAACTCTATTTTAACACATATTCAGTGATCCAATAACCCTTCAGGGGGACGGCCCACAAGGAGTCAGAAGAAAATCTTAAACGGAAGCATAGGTCAATATGCACATCAAATTAAAGGTCTTTTTTGTAGAATACAATGCCGCAAACCGCACTTCAAAAGGTTGATCCTGCGCAAAATGGCAGATGTTCAAAGATTTCTTGAATCCGCCATTTTGAATCTTTGAACGACTGCCATTTTTTACTCAGGCATTCTTTTGAGCTTGAATTTACGGCATCGTAATCTACTAGTGAAGACCTTTAATTTGATGTGCATATCGACCTATGCTTACGTTAACAATTTTCTTCCGATTCTTAGGGTTGTGCCCCTGAGGAGTAAGCGTATAATAGCAATGTAAATTAAATGAATCTTTAAACAACTGTCATTTTGCGCAGGATCAACCTTTTGAAGTGCGGTTTGCGGCATTGTATTCTACAAAAAATACCTTTAATTTGATGTGCATATTGACCTATGCTTCCGTTTAAGATTTTCTTCTGACTCCTTGTGGGCCGCCCCCCTGAAGGGTTATTGGATCACTGAATATGTGTTAAAATAGAGTTTTATGCCCTGTAACTTTGTACCAAGTATTGTAGCTCTATCTGCATTATTTTTTAAAATATTTAACTGTCCAGGGACTTTTTTACCACCCTGTATATGTTTTAAGTGTTATAAGACGTATCTTTATTTACTTTCCATTTTGTATTTGACTCTTCTAACACGACCTGAATGGGTTTTCGAGGATTCATATTCTTAATTTTCCTGTTTTCATAAACTAATTGAAAGATGTATTAATCATTAATCACACTGTAATATTGGTTAGAAGCTGTGTCACGTTTTAGGCCTTACATATTATGCTGGTCATCAAAGAGAGTTGAAGATAATTGTTTGAAAAAATTCGCCATCTTCTTAGACAGTTTACTCTCATTGAGAATGTAATGAATGATGTTATATCTCGTAACTTGTGTTGTATAACTTGTGATTATGTATGAGTAAATTAATTGTATTGAGGTTTCAAAAGGTTGAAGCTACTCCTCTCATGATCCAAGTAAGTATTTTTTTTTAGACATGGTTATGACAGATAAAGATACAAATTAATCATGATTTTTCTTCTTTAAGAATAGTGGACTTGACTATTTCATACTTTTTGTGTTAAAAGTTTAGTGTTACCTAAGAAAATCTAGAATATAATGTGTAGTTAGCAGAAAACATGAAAGCCCCCCTCCACTTTTACACCAACTATTTTATTACAGGGTCGGGAGATGTGTAGGTGTATGCAAAACCAACAGCATAGTTTCAGGTCTGGAAAAGTTTGTTTGTGAACGTGTATTGGCATATATTAAAATTAATTAAAAGTTTGACTTGAAGTTGCCAGAATCAACTTAAACACCCCTTACCTTAAGAAGTTCATTATGATCAGGGGTGGATGCTTATGTTTTTATCCAGCCTCTTTTGAAGCTAAACTAATGATAAAGATTTTGGTTATGTAAACTTAAATCCAACATTCCTTTGATCACTTTCAAAGCAATATTGAAAATCTTGAGGTTAGGAACTAAATATATAACATTATTTTAATTCCGCTTGAAGATTTATAGAGAGGTTAATCTCTTTTAACTTCAATACTAACAATGATTTATCATCTGTGCGAAAATTACCACTGGGTATAAGTCATATTGTTAATTTATTATGGTTACAAAGTGATAAAAACAGTTAAAAAAGTAAGAATGTATGTATAAAATGGCCTCTAAAAATTCACAGAAAAACTGATGCATTTTGCTGTATAAGGTAATTTGATCTTAGTATATTGCTGAAAAATCCTGGTGTCTTCCATAAATAGTGCTAGTCAAACCAACATGTTTATTTGTGCAGCTACAGACGTGATAAAAATTGCCTGTAAACTATTTTAAAATTGGTAAAATAAGATTACCAATTAATCACTACAATGAACACAGAGTTCGTACTAATATGACATAATTTGTTTGAGATATTTTATTATTTTATCCCATTTAGAATTTATAAATTGTTTAGCAAGTTAAACAGATAATTACAACCCGAACAATGCTTTATAAACACCAAGCATTGATAAATTAAAATAAGTTTAGTGTTCTTAATGAATAATTTGTTAACGTGTATTGCTACATATTATTCTAAAACTAATTGACCGACTTTGGCCACATAAATCAATCAACTAATTGTCTCATTATAAATAAACAAACTTCAGAAGCTTATAATACGAATAAAAAGGAAATTGTTTCAGGCAAAAATAACAATCTCGTCTGATTTGTCTAAATATTTGCCATCGAGGCAAGGGTTGGTGTTTGTATTTGCTCACTGTGAGGTGGTCGCTAGCGAAGTGGTTGCTGTTAATATTACTGATTGAACAGTTAACAAGGTACGGATGAAGCTTTTGGTTTGTCAAGGGACTTTGCGTCACTAAATGTTTAATTAAACTAACTAGCTATTAAAGTAGCATATGCTTTTTGATTTTTGATTATTTTCAATCCACTGTTATGGAGCAATATTAAACAGTAGAAATAAAAATGTGTATACAACATGTAGTCTTCTTTCTGTTTTTATACATAACTAATCATAAGATTATGAACTTTTACGATCATTCTTACTTCTTTCGTCAACAACATTAACTATTGAAACATATGGAAAACATATAAAGTAGTAACAAAATACCTTTGTTACTGTGGGTACCGACCGTGCAACACTGTATAGCTTTAAACCATTTACGGATTCACATATATGTATTGATTCATCAACAATAGTTTTCGTTGTTTATAGAAAGTGGTATTTGAAATTGTAAAAAATTTCAAATTTTAAATATCTGAATTATAAAGCAAGTAAATGCATTTTTATAACTTATACAAGCTTTAATATATGATTGGGGTTTCTTTTTGTTTAAAGCTATACAAAGATGATATAACATATGTTTTGTTGTAGTATAGATAGTATACAATGTTACTTCCCTTAACATGTTATTATCTTAAATATATTTCATTTATTTCAAACAAATAGCTAACGCCAATTAGAATGGATAACACACAAACAGTTGTACAATAATTATTATTTTATTGAACTACGCTAAAACCTACCCGATCTGAAACAATTAACTGACAGTGGGACAAAGACTTGAGCAACAACATTGTCCTTAATTCAGCGACTAAGACAATAAGTAATACCAACGCCGCAGCAAACCTGCAGACTAAGCAAATTTCCATATACACAGCTGGAATTCCACTAAATTATTCCCTTAAAATTGTCAGATTTATTTCCTATTTAAATATCATTAACATTAATAAGTACTTATGTTTGCTGCTACAGGGAAGAAAATAGGGGTTTTTTATTGAAATATTAATAGCCCAGTATGAAGTAAACAAAAATTCAAAATTTAATTAAAATATGTCCATACACAAGCAAGCGACAACACTGTGTATTTATTCTCCATAAGAATAACATGGTAATTTTAAATTTAAATTATTTTGCGATTTTTCCGTAACCGTTAGGCATGCAACAATGCTTAAATATACTAAATTATTTGTTTTTTTGAGCTATACAAAATGGTTTAGAAAGAAATTGCTAAATTTTATGTTTTCAGGGGGAAAAATTAGAAACACCCATTTTTACCCCATAAAACCCCCCATAAACCCCTGTTCCCATAGTCCGACCATGCTGGTTCGCGAACTCGTTCGAATAAATGTAGGTTTACACATTTATACCAAATTTCATTAAAATCGGATTATTTTTGCTCGAGTTATCGCGCTAACGGACATATATATATATACAATTGTTTGGATAAAGGGCTACTATTATAAATAATAAAGAAAGCATACTAACTCAGTACCCTGACATTATTTTTATTTTTAAAACTCTACATGTTTCGACCTTCAGGCCATTTACAAGAGTAACATTTAACCTTACTTTAAACACAACAAATTAATTAACAAATAAACATCATGTGATGATCTTGACATATGATTTTTCTTTTTTCTTAAAGTGTATAGTAAAATAATCTTTGGTCATGGAATTTTGTCATATATATATAACATTTTATTATGTTTGTTTAATTTATCCTCCTCTTGATTGTTGTGTTAAATATTCTTTAATTTAAAATTTTTTTTCATACATAGGATTTTGTTTCTTAATTTGCATCGTATTGATTATATTTGTTGGATCATTCTTGTAGCTGCAGTATATATGATATTCTTCTTTTGTATCTAATTTATTTACTTTTGATCCATAGTCCAAAACTGTCATATCTGTTTCTATTTTAGTGAATTTATGATTCTCATTAAGCAGGTGTTCTGCTACATTACTTTTTATACTAGTCACATTCTTTGATTTAAACGCTTGTACATGTTCTTTATATCTACAATTGAACGTAAGTCTGTCCAGTAATACTTTTCACAATCTGAACATTTAATTTTGTAAATACCGGAGTTTTCATATTTTGATAAATATGAAATTTAAATATAAATTTAAAGTGAGGTTAAATGTTACTCTAGTAAATGGCCTAAAGGTCGAAACATGTAGAGTTTTAAAAATAAAAATAATTTCAGGGTACTGAGTTAGTATGCTTTCTTTATTATATATATATATGAATTTGAACGGATGGTGTTTTTGGCCTCTGGGGACCTCAAACGAAAAACTAAATCGGTCCCGGGTCCAGGTCTTACCATGAGACCTACAGTAATAGCTTATTCCCTATATGGGAAATTCGCTAAAAATTAGGCAGAAATAAAAAGAAATATAAATATATATATATAAGCAGTGAATTCTGTAATTACTGTCTGGGTAACAAAAAGTAGGTGACTTTAGGTACTGCATTAACTTTCAAAAGTCAACGATAAGAAAACTGATATTTGAACACTATATTGCATATTACTGCTACTTTGCAAGATATCGCTGTAACAAACATTAGTCACAAAATACTGGTAACGTATTTACACTGTATGACTCATATTTTGGCCCATTTCAGTTTTAGCTACTGAACAATTCGCTTAGTTCATGATCTTCCATTTCTACTTATTGCTATTCTATGACAGTCCCATATGTTTTGCCCCTTTTTTGTTCGAAAGCTTCTGCCATTATTCATGAAAAATTAAATCATGTTTTTTTCATGGTATTAAAGCATATTGGAAGAAGAAAACATACGATGACTTAGAATAAGTAGGGTTGAAAATGTAAGATAGGAGGACTTTGCTTGAAAAAAGACAGTAGTAGGAAGCTCAACATGAATAAGACTGAAATTGTGACGGAGATAACAGTTGGAGAGGGCCATAATGATGACTGGAATAGAAGACGAAATTATGCTGAGCAAAAGGAGGTTGGCAAATCGTTGGCTAGGTGAAGTGATATTAAGTTAAGAGGCCATCCAAGTACAAAGTAGTATAGTACTAAAGTATAAGTATAAGTGTAAAGTAGTATGCAAAATGTAAGATTTGTTATCATTATAAATTATGTTAATACTTATTCTAAATAATTGCAGACATTTATTAAGATTTAATAACCCTGATAATACGTAAATATATATAAATGATTACGAAAATCGCGAGGAAATTATTCATAAAATAAGATCAAGTTAAAAATATTTTGATACAACTTTATTTAAGAAAGTAGAAAACCATAAATATAGTGTTACAATATCTTTACAAGAGGAGTTTGTTTTGAATATTTCTTACGAATTGTTAAGAATTATACATGTCAGCCTGAAAAACTAAAAAGCGTTATTTTGCGACCTATGTCAATGATTTACTTTTATCACACACAGCTTGCTATCTTTTTGAGTACTACAATCCCACATTTTACAAACATGAATGGGGCCCTGGGGCATTATGAGCCCTGTTGAAGGATGAATGGGGGTTCTACGCGCTTGTGCAGGGTGGGGGTGGTGTATTGGAATAGGGTTTCTAAGCGTCAGTTAACCGTGCACTCCCGAGCAAAGGGTTTCTTGTGTGGGGTTTCTTAAACGTAAACGTTAAACATTATGTTCGTGTAAGAGATTTACATTCTAAATTATGTTCAAGTGCGCCTTTGGAATATAATGTGGTCGAATATAATTATAGCATATTAACTGACTTATTTTCCATTTGGTTTCTGATCAATCTTAAACCAAACTCGTTTGAAATGTACATTAAAACCATTAAGTGTTGGCTGTTTTTGAACCTCTGCAATCTTGTTTACCCTGCAAGTATTTACCAAGGTAAGGAATAAATGTGTGTATGTGTGTAGTTTAACTTGCGAATTAAATTTATATTTTATTTAATTATAACAATCTTCTAGAAAAAAGTTTTACCTCTTGTCAAACAACTTAAAAAATGTCCGTTTATTCATTATTGATAGTAAATAATTGTGGATTTGATTTCAAACTAGATGTATAAAATATAATAAACTTAAACGTTAATGGCTTGTTATCATAAAAAATTATACTGTTAGAAAGAAAAATTTTCATTAGGTCTTATGCACAAACAATCCGTAAAAATTTTATAAAAACCTTAAAAAAAACACAAAACTAAATTTTAGGCTCGATAAGAAACTCAATATTCGTTAATGCCTGACACTCTGTATTAAATCAAATATTACCAACATTCATTGATATGCAAAATTAATCTTTGTTAAAACGGTTGACATTTCAATTTACCTAAATCATATTGTACATAGGCTATTAGATTACTTTTTTTAAAATAGATTTTCACTGCAAGACATCGGTTAACTAAACAGATTCATAGTTTTACTGTATTCACTCAAGCAAATAAATAATGAGTCTTATTTAACTATACAGACTCGTATTCAATCGACACTCAAGATTTTCTTTTGAACAGTTCTCAGCATATACAAAAAGTGAGCTGAGACAGTTTCAGCAATTCAAAATCTTAAGAGATTATAAACTTTGTAGCCGAAATTAATATACAACATTAAAATACGAAATACAATATTATAATGTTGTAAAGCTTTAACTTAAAAGTAACTATAAATGAACACATTCAATTAGAAATAGAAGTTTTGTAAACTTTATAAATGCATTCTGAAGGGAAATACTCATTACCCGTTCCGTTCCGTACTTTGAGTTTTAGTTAGTAATAATTTATGCCACTTTTGCTAGTTGATTTTACAGAATAGGAAAAATAATTTTTCCTAATTGAAAACTTGAAAGGTTAATGAGGAACGTGACCTTTAAAATCACTTCAAAGTTCTTTAATTGTTGAATCATAAAGTAATAAGGCCCTGGCAAATCATGTGTTTTGAACATTTACTAACTTCTATGAGCATTTGAAAAAGTACAATAAGATTCTCAGAAACAACAAATCAACCAAAATCGATGATTTGTAAGATTCCGTAGTCACATTTTATACAATTAATAAATCTTGAAAATAGCTGTTACTTAATTTGCCTCTAAACAAAAGACAATGTGATAATGGATGTATTAAACTGATTAGAAACCAATGCAATTTTCAGTGGATTAAGTATGAACTATATTAAAATAAGGGAATTATTGGATATTTAAATCCATACCGTGTAACAGTTGTCAAATATATTTATGAATGAATATAAATCAACCAATAATCAATAAATGCAGCATTGGAACTATAATATATTGTAAATAAACCTTATAAGAAATCATATTTAGTTGTGAAAATATCAATCGCAGTTTTAAGTGCGTAAAAGCTTTACACCACAATTTCTTAGTGAAACTAAAGGTTTTAAATAGTGTGAAAATATAGTATATCAGTTTTAAAATAATATTTAAAAAGTAAATGTATGAACTACTCAAATATAGTTTTCGCCATTAATTTTTATCAAGCAAACGATTTGAGAGTTAAACATCACTAGACACTTCACCCATTTAGTTTAATGTCGTGCAAATAGGTTTTTACCCCGAAAAACGAATATATTAATTTAACACAGAAAATTTGTTTGTGACTGTCTTTTCACGTTTTTGATGTTTTGCAGTTTGTTTCTTGATTACTAAAACTTAAAACCTCTTATGCAAAACAATTTTTACAAACCTCTTATGTAAACAATTAAAAATTATCTTAAAAAATTATCAAATATAAATTTAGTTCCACTATAAAAATAAAATTTTATCATACTACGTACTATATTATTTTGTCTAACCTCAAAAACACATAAATAAAAATGAAATTTATAAAATTTTCCTCATAGTCAGTGATTTTCATTAAACGTGGAAAACTGTGAAAAACATGATGATTTAAAGGTAAAACCGTGAATATTAATGTTTAACTTTCTTGTAGACATTTAAAGACACTTCCGTTCTGACACTTTTGGGAAATAAGTAACAAGTGTTTGATCAATAATATAAGAAAGAAGGAGTCAAATTTGTTATTAAAATTACATTTAATATAAGCTTTACTATTTACGTAGAAAACATAGTATTTTTAACATCATAAAGTATTCATTTATTACTTTTACATACAGGGTGACAATTAAATGGAACCTCTTTTTTAATTTTTAAACCGCAATAAAAAAATACCAAAGTTCAAGCGTGCTTACTGGTGATGGTAACACACACATCTGTCCAATTACCGATTGGTTAAACCCTTTAGTGGACGGTTCACAAGGAGTCAGACAAAATTCTTAAAAGCAGCATAGGTCGAGTTTAGTATCAAATTAAAGGTCGCCGTTAAAAATGCCACAAAACTGAGCTCAAAAGGACAACTAAGTCAAAAATGGTTAATTAAATTCAACTAAATTTCAAAATAGCAACCACATATAAAAAAGAAACTGCGAAATTTAAATGGCTAAAAACATATTAAATGTCGACAAAACTATTCTTGCGGTTTCATAGACATTATGAGTCAAGGGACATTTCCTTATCTTATGATGAAGAAATTTAACTCATTCTAAAACCGTTTTTGTTATGTGTTAACAGGTTGGGAACCTACTGTTTTGTAACCTACTTTATACCAACCCTATGAAGGTTTATTTAAGTGAAAAAGGGAGGAACCATAAAATTAAAACTCTCAAAAGCTGAAAGTAATTAGTTAAGACTAGACCAAAGTTTATCCAGCGTCCTAAAATCCTAGTTTATTAGAGCTCTCTTTAGATTTTGCATAATTAGATTGTTATTCTGATTAAATTTGAATTTATCTTGCACTAAGTATCGAGCTTTTTTATTGAGTATAAAGAAACACTGTTAATTTATTCATTGTCCATATACTTCATTAAAGAAGTTAGATTAAATCAGGCCGGGCTTTCTTGCTGTATTTAAAGATTTTTATTGACAACTATGAACTTGGCGGTCCCTTATTTATTTACAGAATGTCTCTATTTAGATTTCTTCAATAGTTTAGGAATACGGCTACATATTTTTATGTGTTATACAATTGGTGTAATTGAAAATCTAGTTCAATATAACTTTTTAAGGAGTATTTAATTAGATCTATATGAATAACATTTTCCAAAAATACACACCTTTACTTACACAAGCTACATACTTGACACAAATACATAAGGTAAATTTGATTAATAAAAATAAAACCAAAATGTAAAAGCTATAACGGACATATGTTTAAAATGCAGTTTTTTTTATAATACAACGCAAAAGAACATTTTGAATTAATCGGTTTTATTAGCTTGCAGGTTGACAAAATTGTAAAAGAACGTAATAAAAAGGAACAGTTATGACGGATAGCGTAAGGAAAATAAGATGTTTGTATTTAGAAAAATTAAATTAAAGGTTGGTGAGAAAGAACCTCAACTATTCTTCTAAAAAATTGTATATAACATGTTCACTGGAACTACGATCATTATCACAAAAATCATTTAAGTATATTTAAATCTTTCGAAGCGTATGCAATATTAATGCACTACGACTCTTTTAAAACCATGACCATGCTACTTATTACACATTCTACTTCTATTTGTATAGTTTACTTATTATTTACTCTTAATTTTTGTGTTGTTTTTATGATACACAACTATTAGTTCGTTTCAAATCGAATAACACTTAGTAATTTTTCTGGCAAGATTAATTTGCTAATCAATTAATTGCAAAATATTTAATAAAAGTAATGATTTCATTAAAACTAGGCTATTAGTGACTTGTTTTTTAAATGTTTTTCAATATCTTTACTTCCCAATCAATACGAATTATTACAAATGGCCTGTATTTATGGTATTGTGGTGATCGAAAATAAACAAAAATTTTATATAATATATGTATAAAAGATAAATTCTAAATAATAAAACCTATGCATAAACTGAACTATATAAATTGTATATAAACCAATTATAACCTGATAAGGGGTTACTTATATGCTTTAATAAATCTTATATTAATTTTGAAAAGTTATTATATCATATATTTCTTAACTTTAGTTGAATTCCCTTTAAATAATTGTTAGTGTGAAATAGATTTTTATTTAAAAATTAATAAATAAAATATGTCTATCATTTTGAAAATTTTTACTTTGTTTTTCCAGTGAGAGGCTTTCGTCAAGAGTTGAACGACTGTGACAAACAAACTTGTTTACACCCAACTAAAAACATCCTCAGCATAGTCTTATCAATTCTTCGTTGTTTCAAATAAATCAAAGTCTAATAACACTCTTGTCAAGTACTAGCTTTTTTGTACTTGAAAAGTATTAGCTAAAACCAGGCACTTATGGATATATAAATATATAAAAATAAAGAACTAATTATATTTATATTAACCCATGCATAAAACAAACCTCTATAATCTTTGTATATAAGACACAAAAAATACAACAAATCGTAATCTTTCTTGGAAGTTTTATCGTTTAATCATTTAAATTAAAAATGTGAGCTTATAGAAGAACGTGTAAAAATTATACATGTTTATGTTGCATATTATTAATAAATATTATTATGTTTCTTCGCTTTTCATAACCTATTAACCAACCAACTTAAAAAAAACACGTAGTTGTGAAGTTAAGGCTACCTGTCCGCCACGCGCTAATGCAAGGGTTTAGGATCTCCGTTATTGTCGGTTTAGTTCTTAATTGATTGAAAATATAATTGTGTAAATTTATTCATTTCTTATTTTTGTAGGCTTGTATCTTTTCAATTGTTTGGTAATAGTAGATTTTTAAGTGGGTAGTGACTGGTAAAAACCTCTAAATAACCTTTTTCTAAAGCATTTTACACATACAAATAAGTTTTTAGAAGAAATAAAATAAACGATCGTCATAAATTTGAATTTAAGGAGTAAGGAAACTTCTT